CGAACTGCGGTTGAACAACTTCGAGTTAATCCTACTTGAGCTGGAAGTCGTGCATAGTGGAAAAAAAATAGAATGCGATTATATTAAAGCGTTAAATACAATGACAAAGTTATGGGAAACTGATATCACGAAAATTGTCACTTCGCGAAAAATGTCATTCGTATTGTGTCGTAAAAAAATTGGCATGAGCGGATCGGCAGGTCCGGGAAATGTTACAGTCACGCCAGTGCGGCCGGTTACATTTGGAATGAACCACCGCCTCCCTCCCGCTGTCTCGAGGGGGTCGTTCACGAGAGAGGGTCGTTCACGAGGGAGGGTCGCGAGGACCTCCCATTGATGCCTCGATCAGGGCCGCGTCTTTGAAGCCAGAAGCGGGATCCTCCCGTGGGAGCGTCAACTTGAAAAGTCTGCCATTTCATTGCCGCTCAAACAATAAACACCGAGGCCACCCAGGGCCTGGGGGGGGCATTAGGACCGGGTCTGCTTCTGGGATATTAATGATATTTTTCCAATCTCGGTGACGCACTGGCACAGCTGAGGAAATTCATTACCTGCCTCCCTCGCAGAATGTAATCTGCCTCCACTTCCTGGCAGGAGAATTCTCCCTCACAAATTTGCCGTTCACAAATTAATTTTGACATTTTTATTGCCCCAATTCTTGGATTATTTTTGGTGATCCTCAGCTTTCAGTGCACAATAATGTCTGTAAAATGTATTTATTAAAATTTTGATTTAAAGCTTTCATGACTGCAGGGATTCATATTCTTGGTTCTTTCGGGAAAGTCACGTAGAAGGGAAACAATAAAATAATAAAAATACAAAACAATAAAATTCTCACGACGTTTCGACTGCAACACAAGCAATCATCATCAGGTGTGAAAACCACAGCAAGAAAATTTGAAAAAAGTGGCGGGTTATTTTTACGTTAGCACCACGGAGAGCGATTTGGCAGTTATTCAGATGGACGAGTCCATCCATGTTCGGAAAAAAAGAGGGGGAAGACGAAAATAATGGATGCGGTCTGAAAACCACCATGAGCTTGAACAATGAATTAAGATCCGAAATGGTTTATCAAATCCTTCCAATGATTGCTAAGCCAGAATCCATCTTCTCGGTTGAAATTGCCTCTGTGTTTGTATATGTGGATAGCCTCATGAATGAATCTTTCATGGTAGCCAGATGGCTTGCAAAGAACCTCTGTCTTGGAGAAGTCAAAGCAGACCTAAAACACGGTGGGACCAACACCTCGGCCGTGGCAGATCACTGTTATAATTCAGTAGGCTCACATGACATTGACTTCTCCAAGACAGAGGTTCTTTGCAAGCCATCTAGCTACCATGAGAGATTCGTTCATGAGGCTATCTACATATACAAACACAGAGACAATTTCAACCGAGAAGATGGATTCTGGCTTAGCAATCATTGGAAAGATTTGATAAACCATTTTGGGTCTTAATTGATTGATCACACTTAAGGTGGCTTTCAGACCGCATCCATTATTTTTCGTCTCTCCCCTCCTCTTTTCCGAACATAGATGGACTCGTCCATCTGAACAAACTGTCAAATCTCTCTCCGTGGTGCTAACGTTAAAAATAACCGCCACTTTTTTTCAAATTTTCTTGTTGTGGTTTTCACACCTGATGATGATTGCTTGTGTTGCAGTCGAAACGTCGTGAGAATGTTATTGTTTTATATTTTTATTATTTCATTGTTTCCCTACTACATGACTTTACCGAAAGAACCAAGAATATGAATCCCTGCAGTCACGAAAGCTTTAAATCAAAATTTAATATGTATTTATTTAGTTATTTACTTTTTGAAGCTGAATTGGCCCAAGCGGTGTTTGGATAGCTGCTCGTGTGAAGAGCCTTCGTTGTCCAGCCAGAGGCAGATCATTTCCAGTTTGGGGAACGTCAGCCAAGGGACACTCATTTTTATGAATGGGTTTACACGGCTCATTTAATGAGCTCAGAAGCACTCACGGGAGGTGTATGTAAATTAATGTTATGGCAATGCTAATCGCGTGTACACATGCTGCATATTCAGTGTCATGGTTACTTGTGTAACAGCAATGATTTTTTTCGTCTTCACCCAGGACATTTTTTCCGCAATAATGCATAACATGTAAACACCAGTGCGATGCACTCGTGTTTGTTGCGAAAATGTTCGCTCCCCTGTGATGTTTTGAAGCCGTACTTATTAATGAGCAGAAGGAGCTTAATCATGTCGGAAATGTGATGTGTACAAGAGACAACAGTACAGCAGTGGATTGTATCTCTTTGTGCAGTGCATTGAGTGTTATCCTCTTTCATTCGTGTTTTTTTTTTATCCAGGTATTCCAGTTTTCTCCCACGAGCCAAACGCTCATAAATGTATATGGGCCAAACATCCCAATGTGGCATCCTCCTGAAAAGGAGTCTTGAGACTCAAGCTTTCCTGGGTTAAGGGCATTATTGTGATTTTTCATACATATACATCTGGCCGAGTGGTTTATGAACTCGAATCACCATTGAAGGTTGCGAGTTCAAATGTAAGTTCAGCATCAGTGTATCTCAACATCTGTGTGAGCTTGTTGCAAATTGGTACCACTTTATGGCCAGACACCAGTCTTGGAACGATAGAGGCTGGCAGTCTGCCAGAGGAATTCCAACAGAGATGGGCGATAGCTTCCACTTGTTCGACCATTGGGACAATGACTTCAATTGTGTCATGGATTACTGCCTCGCAATTTCACGTTGATGATTTGCCCTTTTTAAAAATTATTTTCAGGTTGGTATGGGTGGGAGCTAATTTACGGTGCCAGGGCACGGAGATGGCACCCCTGGGAAACCGGGTTCGAATCCACGTTCTATCAACCCGTACTTAAATTGGGTTATCTAGTGTGGTGTTGTCACTGGTCTCAAGCCCAGTCAGCAATCTCTGAACAGCAAAAGATCAAATTAAATGAGACTTGCCATGTAAATTGGAAGAAAAAACTATTTCATCTCTGAAAATGTAGAACTGTAGTTTGCCTGCCATCTGACGAATACCTCTGCAACAGGGCGGTTGGGAATGTACAGCATCCCTAGAGTGACTAAGAGATCACTCCAAGGGATATCAGCAGTAACGAGTATGGAGGTAGGGGTGCATTCCCCCCCCCCCCCCAAGCTACGAGTTGGGGCCCCGTTGACAACCACCATGAGATGTGTTTTCAACCGTATTGGGGCCCCACCTGACCGATTGCCGCACCCCCTGAGCTGATAATGTAGTTGCGCTACGAGATCTCAGTAGCAGTTCTGCGGCATCAATTTCTGCGGGTTATTTTCTGTCGAATACGAGGTGATATAGCTCTCCTCGAGAGCTTTGAATGGATGCATGTCCCCTGACGTGACACGGACAATTCAGTCAGATTTGCATAATGCAGTCAAATCTGACAAGTGTTGTTTAGTTATCTGAACAACTGGAAGACATTTGTATTTAAATCTTTCGTGGCTGCAGGGATTCATAAAGAAAGTGTAGCTCTCCCAGTGCATCAAGAGCCATGGAAGTCTCTGAAGAAAGTGTAGCTCTTCTAGTGCATCAAGAGCCATGGAAGTCTCTGAAGAAAGTGTAGCTCTTCTAGTGTATCAAGAGCCATAGAAGTCTCTGAAGAAAGTGTAGCTCTCCTAGTTCATCAAGAATCATGGAAGTCTCTGAAGAAAGTGTAGCTCTTGAGAAGTGTAGCTCTTCTAGTGTATCAAGAGCCATAGAAGTCTCTGAAGAAAGTGTAGCTCTCCTAGTTCATCAAGAATCATGGAAGTCTCTGAAGAAAGTGTAGCTCTTCTAGTGCATCAAGAGCCATGGAAGTCTCTGAAGAAAGTGTAGCTCTTCTAGTGCATCAAGAACCATAGAAGTCTCTGAAGAAAGTGTAGCTCTTCTAGTGCATCAAGAACCATAGAAGTCTCTGAAGAAAGTGTAGCTCTTCTAGTGCATCAAAAACCATGGAAGTCTCTGAAGAAAGTGTAGCTCTTCTAGTGCATCAAGAACCATGGAAGTCTCTGAAGAAAGTGTAGCTCTTCTAGTGCATCAAGAACCATGTAAGTCTCTGAAGAAAGTGTAGCTCTTCTAGTGCATCAAGAACCATAGAAGTCTCTGAAGAAAGTGTAGCTCTTCTAGTGCATCAAGAACCATGTAAGTCTCTGAAGAAAGTGTAGCTCTTCTAGTGCATCAAGAACCATGGAAGTCTCTGAAGAAAGTGTAGCTCTTCTAGTGCATCAAGAGCCATGGAAGTCTCTGGATGGCGGTGGTCACTGGCTGGCTGTTGGAATGTCTCCGCAGAAAGAAACAGCAAAAATTCAATAATGTTCCCATCACATGCTGTCAGGGAACCTTAAACGGGGGGGGGGGGGGGGGGGGCGATAGCTGCTGGGGGTTGGGGGCCGGTGGATGGGGGCCTTGTCCAATGTACCTTGTCCATGATGATGGACGGTAACACAGCTAGACAGCCAAATTTGAGAGTATTTTTAGAAGATTGCATCTCTAGGGTGCTGTTTATCTTGTACTTTGTGCAGTATCCGTGAGTGTGTGCTTATGTGTGTGTAAGTCTGTAAGCCTGGGGAGTGGAAGTATAGTGGTTTTCGCGTTGCCTTTGTTCTTATATCTCCGTGTAAAACGAAGTAGTTTACAATCAACTACGAACCCGGCCACCCGAGTTCAATTCCCGCTCACGGCCAACACCAGTGTCGATTATCTGAATCGGTTCTCGGCCTTCCCTAGGTTGACTCAGCCTCAAATGAGTACCTGGTGTGGTGTGTAAACATCGCCACTGGGGAGACAAAAGCATCCATGAATGGTCACCCACCCCCTTGTGTGCCGTGTCGGCCTTCATAGTTGCTCATGAACAGCACTTGCTCCAACAAGTCTGTGAAAGCTATACGGCAGTATCGTGTGCCGTGCCACCCTCAATAGGTCTGTACCAACAGCACTTGCCTCAATAGCCAATGTAGGCTACACGGGGAATGTTTGTTTTTGTGTCTCCGCAGGAGGGCATCATGATGGTTCTGTTCGGCCTCGAGTATTTCCTGAGGATCTGGGCGGCCGGGTGCTGCTGCCGCTACCGCGGCTGGCAAGGGCGCCTCCGCTTCGCCCGCAAGCCCTTCTGCATCATCGGTGACTCTGTTTGACCGTCTTTCCGTCTGCCCGTGCGTCTGGTCGTCTGTCCGGCCGTCTGCCTGCTTGATCTTACGTCTCTCCATTTTGCTCGTCTCTGTGATCATTCATCTGTCTGCCCACCTGTCTGACCCTCCATTCCATCCATTCATCTATTTGTCTGTCCACCGATCTGTTATGTCCGTTTATTTGCCTGTCTTCCTGGTAGTCCATCCATCCGTCTGTATGCCCGTTTGCCATTCTATCTGTCCATGTCTTCATCTGCCTGTTTGGCTGTACAATATCTCAGTCTGTACGTCTCTCCTTATATTTTTCCTACCTGTTTCGTTCTCATTCTTGGTTCTTTCGAAAGAACCAAGAATATGAATCCCTGCTGTCACGAAAGCTTTAAATCAACATTTGTTTCGTTCTCACTCACTGCCTCTCTTTGCTTGTGTCACTGTTATTATTTGCGTCGCTGACTTTGTCTGCCTTCATCCCTCGGTATCTCCAGCCCTTTGTCTTAGCCCACACAACCCTGTTGTGCTTCAGGCAAACAAGCAGCAGACGAAACGTTGTGAACGCAATAATTAAAGTGACAATTCGCTTTATTATTTTGTTCTTCGGATCCAAAGCCCGAGCGTCACTGTGCTCATAATCCCGCATGAGCCTCGTGTCTTCTTGGATGGGCTTTTAAAACTGTAGATTTAACTTCGTTTTGAGTTTGCATTGACAGAAATAATATTCACCGTTAAATTACCCAAAGTAGCTCCTTGCATTCATCATTATGGATAATAGCAATCGTCACCAACACGACCATTATATTTAGACCGAAATAGCAATTGCTCTGAGTTTCTCGATCAGCCAAAGACCTAGACTTTTAAAATGCAACATCATCAGCAGGAGCAGCAGTCATCATCAATCCCCTGTTGGACGAAGACCTCAAGCCATTGCCGTCTTTCTCAGTGCCACGGTGCAACAATCCATCTGGCTTCCACATGCCGGCTGCTGATCGCTCCATCTGCACTGTGGACGACCTCTCAAGATGCTCTCTCCTTTGCCTGCCGCTCCATCGCTAGTCTCGCCCACTCGGCACCGTCTCTCAAACTGCCGCGTCCTGCCCAAGCCCACTTGCTTTCCAGAACGGTCAAAGTTTTTTTACGTTGCTAATCTTCCAATTCATCATTTATTTTTGGGACAGATCGCGTCAGTAAAATGTGTGTGGGGAGCGGTAGTGTAGCTGTTAGCGCTCTGTGACCCGAGTTCGATTCCTGCTCATGGCTAACACCAGTGATAATGATTATCTGAACCGGTCCTGGGTCCTCCTCCCGAAGATCGACTCATTCTCAAATGAGTGTCTGGTGCGGTGTGAAAACATCGCCACTGGGGAGATGAAGCAAATTGGGCGTGATGCTGGGCCACCCACCACCTCATCTACCCTGCCGGCCATCATTGGTGCTCGCGAACAACACTTGCCCCAACAGTCTGTTAAGGCTATACGGGGAGTGTCTGTCTTTGTCCATCTGCCACTTAAAAGAGCTGTCACGTGGACAAACGTGCCAATGTATTTCTTGCTTCAGTACTCCGGTGTGTTGGAGAGCAATCCGCAACAATGCAAAATACAACAATACAACCGTCACGCCATTACATTTAAGGCCCAGAACTGGAGTCCATTTTCACAATTCCCACAACTGCCTGATAACGCTGGTTTTAAATGTGCTCGTGTCCTCTAAACTCGACAATGCAACGTTGACATCAGAATCTCTGTTCAGGAGAGAGGGGAGCAGTAGGTGGAGGCTCAGGAGGCATTGTTACGGCTCGCCACAAACTCCAACAAAACTTAACATCCGCCACCGTCCCTCTCGGACGCCTGCTTTAGTTTGTTTTTGTTTCAAATGGCGACACAGATGTGACCACCGCCCGCAGTGACACGTATTCTCTCCAGCAATGTCTCACTCGGTTCAAATTACCGTTGACGGGAGATGCCGACGAAAGACTCATTGGACACCCCGGCAACGTGCCGCTCACTTTGGGTCTGAGCGTGCCCGGTTTTGACCGCCCCCGCGGCCTCCCGGGTGGCGCCTCGCCGCCGCCGCCACCACCGCTGCGATGGTGTCCTCGTGGCAAAGGAGTGCGCTGAGTCACACAGCGGTAGGCACCGTCACAGTCCCACAGAGGCGGTGCTCTGGGCTCATAACTGACTCTGTATCAGACGAAGGGTACATCTATCCGCCCGGGCCGACTTACGTGACCGGGAATACATTGGTGAATAGTGATCCGTGTTTGTGCAACATTTTCAATTTTTCACGTGGAGCGTGCAGTTTGTTTGTTTTTTGCTTGCTCCGTTCCAATCACCTCGTCCGCCGTTACTCGGATTTGTTTTGCTTTCGGCGTTGTTGTGACCTAGGTCCTCTCTCCTGGCCTCTCGAGCTCTGGCCAAGGTTACACAAGATCAGCTTGCCTTGACTCGACATGCATTTTTCCCAGCCGGATCTGTGGACCTTGGATGGGCAGGCCGGCTCTGCCGTTAACGCTCGTGCCGCACGGCGAGACGCTCCTTGCTTCGATTCCCGACTCCTCGGGTGTCTTTCTGCTTGGAGTTTGTATTCGCTCCCACTGCTCTGCATGGGTTTCTTCCAGGTTCCCTGGTTTCCTCCCCTTCGCAGGGAAAAAAAAAGATGCAATGTAACATACCAGTGCTGAAAGAAACCACCTGAAAATTACTCAATTGGGATTACACACAGCAGCAGCAGCAGCAGCATCGCTCTCGACTGCGAAAACTTGGCAGGACCCTCCTGAACAAAAAGTTTGAGACTCATTGAGGCTTTCCTTTGGTAAGCAAGCAGAATTAATAAATGTCTCTCTTGGCAGTGTTATGGCTATTCTTGAAATCTCATAGCTGGTGTTATAATCTCATAGGATTCTGTTATGACATCATAGCCGGCTCTGCAGTCTTATAGTGATCTATATTCTCACTTGTCTCTGCTGTGTCTGTTCTCCTACTTGACTATCGCTGCATAACCGAATAGAGAATTTCACATCTGGCCGTCTCGACATCATGAATGCCTCCGTATACAAATAGTCAAGTGTATCCCTATCAGTAGGTTCTACAGACACACAGCTGTCTCTCTTCACGTAGCTGTGCGCGTGTGTCCTCCGACGGGCGCTGCTGCGCTGCAGACAGCATCGTGCTGGTGGCGTCCCTGGCGGTGATCGCCGCCGGCACCCAGGGCAACATCTTTGCGACGTCGGCGCTGCGCTCGCTGCGCTTCCTGCAGATCCTGCGCATGGTCCGCATGGACCGCAGGGGCGGCACCTGGAAGCTGCTCGGCTCCGTGGTCTACGCGCACAGCAAGGTGACGCGCGCGTCCGGACACGCGCGCGAAGCGTACGAGTGCGCAGAGACAAAGATACCCCCGGGTTTGCCATCGAGCACGCGTGGTCTCCCGTCGTTTTCCAGATGGGGGCCACGCGTTTGTAACCATTGTGGTTTGACAGCACGATGAGAGGCGTTTTCATATTTGTGTATTTGTCTGTCGGGGTGCTGCACTAAAGGCCACCAAGGGACCTGACAGTGGCCCGCGGGCCTTGCGGTGGAAAACACTGCCGTAGAGACTGTCGGAGGAAGCTTTGTTTGCGAACATCTGTTAAGCCCGCACAGCACACGAGGGGGTGTGGGTGCCCAGCACAGCGCCCGACCACCTTTGTCTCTCCAGTGCCGAGGTTTACACACCACGCCAGATACTAACTTATGACTGAGTCGACCTAAGCGAAGCCCAGGAATGGTTCGGATATTGGTTACCGACAGTTGGCTGTGAGCGGGAATTAAACACGGGTCGTCGGATTCGCAGCGCAGTGCGCTCGCCGCTCCACTACGACTGCCCAGACAGACACGTGCACGCATGCCGACACGCACACACGCACGCACACACGCACACACACACACGTGCACACGCACACACACACGCACGCGCACACGCGCACACACACGCACACGCATATCTCGAGCACTGCTCCCATTTTTATCCCGGTGTCAATATGGCACCCGTCCGGTTTAACCTCATGGGCACCAATTTAACAGTTGATTCATCTTCAGGAATAAAATAAAATAAAAGCAACCGGGTCTGCAGGTGGGGCCTGCCGTGGGCTTCACTCCTCCTCATCATCTCTCGTTCACCAAAGGCAGCCCAGCGAAGGCGCCGAGAGCTCAGAATTCAAAGACCTGTGCAGTGCCGACGACGTTCTTGATAGACCACATCAGAGTCTATCAACGTTGAATGTAAATCGACATGAAGTGAAAAACCTGACAATCATTACTTAAGGATTGGGCTCATATCGTCTAAAAAAAAAAACATCCTCAAAGATCACCACAAAGTCTTTGGCACGAGAAGTAAAAGAAAAATGTTAATTGTATTAATTTTTTTTTGCTGTCAGCATTGCGTCTTAAGATGATCATGCTTATAACAACAACAATAAGAAGAATTTCAACTTGTAACACGCGGCTGCCGCAGACACAGAAGAACGAGTGGAGGGCCGCCAGGAACCACGGCCAAGCGGGACGGCAGCAGCCAGGCAGTCAGCCGGTGCCAACAATTGCCCAAACTCTGCGGTCCCCTGTACATTAAATACGTTTTCAGCCCATTAATGAGTATTTGCATGTGGGAGCACACCGAAGGCTCTGCGGTGGTGAGATGTTTACTGCCTCGCATAGTATGCAGGAGGTCGTGGGTTCGATCTAGACCCCTTGACGCCTGCTGCTGCTGTATATTTGGAGTCTGCTGTATATTTGGAGCCTGCTGTATATTTGGAGTCTGCTGTATATTTGGAGTCTGCTGTATATTTGGAGCCTGCTGTATATTTGGAGCCTGCTGTATATTTGGAGTCTGCTGTATATTTGGAGTCTGCTGTATATTTGGAGTCTGCTGTATATTTGGAGTCTGCTGTATATTTGGAGTCTGCTGTATATTTGGAGCCTGCTGTATATTTGGAGTCTGCTGTATATTTGGAGCCTGCTGTATATTTGGAGTCTGCTGTCTTTCTCCCCGTGGTAGCGTGGTACTTTTTTTCCGGGTCCTCCGGTTTAACCCTCCACGTTTATAAACGTGCGTTTAGAGCATTTGGCTGCTATAAAATGCCACGTGGTAAGCCACTTAGTTGCGCTGTCATTTGTGGCCAGGTCACTTTTGAAAAAGAGCTATATATGGCAGTCGGCCTTACCTGGTAAAAGACTCAATCGTTTAGCTTCTGAAGAACCCGGAGAAAAGCAACGCATGCAAAGGGAGCCACCACTCTATCCCATATAGACAGAACAGTTCCTCTTTTTTGGTGTACTGCCTTCTCCTGGCGAGCCAGGGTACAGCACCTCGACCCCCACAGAAAGAGAGCTTCACGACACCTGTCCGATCCACCAATCCACAGTGCTGGTTTAGAGGCGTGCATAGTCACCACCACAGTGCTGGTTTAGAGGCGTGCATAGTCACCACCACAGTGCTGGTTTAGAGGCGTGCATAGTCACCACCACAGTGCTGGTTTAGAGGCGTGCATAGTCACCACCATAGTGCTGGTTTAGAGGCGTGCATAGTCACCACCACAGTGCTGGTTTAGAGGCGTACATAGTCACCACCACAGTGCTGGTTTAGAGGCGTGCATAGTCACCACCATAGTGCTGGTTTAGAGGCGTGCATAGTCACCACCACAGTGCTGGTTTAGAGGCGTGCATAGTCACCACCACAGTGCTGGTTTAGAGGCGTGCATAGTCACCAGCACAGTGCTGGTTTAGAGGCGTGCATAGTCACCACCACAGTGCTGGTTTAGAGGCGTACATAGTCACCACCACAGTGCTGGTTTAGAGGCGTGCATAGTCACCACCACAGTGCTGGTTTAGAGGCGTGCATAGTCACCACCACAGTGCTGGTGTAGAGGCATGCATAGTCACCACCACAGTGCTGGTTTAGAGGCGTACATAGTCACCACAGTGCTGGTTTAGAGGCGTGCATAGTCACCACCACAGTGCTGGTTTAGAGGCATACATAGTCACCACCACAGTGCTGGTTTAGAGGCGTACATAGTCACCACCACAGTGCTGGTTTAGAGGCGTGCATAGTCACCACCACAGTGCTGGTTTAGAGGCGTACATAGTCACCACCACAGTGCTGGTTTAGAGGCGTACATAGTCACCACCACAGTGCTGGTTTAGAGGCGTGCATAGTCACCACCACAGTGCTGGTTTAGAGGCGTGCATAGTCACCACCACAGTGCTGGTTTAGAGGCGTGCATAGTCACCAGCACAGTGCTGGTTTAGAGGCGTGTATAGTCACCACCACAGTGCTGGTTTAGAGGCGTGCATAGTCACCACCACAGTGCTGGTTTAGAGGCGTGCATAGTCACCACCACAGTGCTGGTTTAGAGGCGTGCATAGTCACCACCACAGTGCTGGTTTAGAGGCGTACATAGTCACCACAGTGCTGGTTTAGAGGCGTGCATAGTCACCACCACAGTGCTGGTTTAGAGGCATACATAGTCACCACCACAGTGCTGGTTTAGAGGCGTACATAGTCACCACCACAGTGCTGGTTTAGAGGCGTACATAGTCACCACCACAGTGCTGGTTTAGAGGCGTGCATAGTCACCACCACAGTGCTGGTTTAGAGGCGTACATAGTCACCACCACAGTGCTGGTTTAGAGGCGTACATAGTCACCACCACAGTGCTGGTGTAGAGGCGTGCATAGTCACCACCACAGTGCTGGTTTAGAGGCGTACATAGTCACCACCACAGTGCTGGTTTAGAGGCGTGCATAGTCACCACCACAGTGCTGGTTTAGAGGCGTGCATAGTCACCACCACAGTGCTGGTTTAGAGGCGTACATAGTCACCACAACAGTGCTGGTTTAGAGGCGTACATAGTCACCACCACAGTGCTGGTTTAGAGGCGTACATAGTCACCACCACAGTGCTGGTTTAGAGGCGTACATAGTCACCACCACAGTGCTGGTTTAGAGGCGTGCATAGTCACCACCACAGTGCTGGTTTAGAGGCGTACATAGTCACCACCACAGTGCTGGTTTAGAGGCGTACATAGTCACCACCACAGTGCTGGTTTAGAGGCGTACATAGTCACCACCACAGTGCTGGTTTAGAGGCGTACATAGTCACCACCACAGTGCTGGTTTAGAGGCGTACATAGTCACCACCACAGTGCTGGTTTAGAGGCGTGCATAGTCACCACCATAGTGCTGGTTTAGAGGCGTGCATAGTCACCACCACAGTGCTGGTTTAGAGGCGTGCATAGTCACCACCACAGTGCTGGTTTAGAGGCGTGCATAGTCACCACCACAGTGCTGGTTTAGAGGCGTGCATAGTCACCACCACAGTGCTGGTTTAGAGGCGTGCATAGTCATCACCACAGTGCTGGTGTAGATGCGTGCATAGTCACCACCACAGTGCTGGTTTAGAGGCGTACATAGTCACCACAGTGCTGGTTTAGAGGCGTGCATAGTCACCACCACAGTGCTGGTTTAGAGGCATACATAGTCACCACCACAGTGCTGGTTTAGAGGCGTACATAGTCACCACCACAGTGCTGGTTTAGAGGCGTACATAGTCACCACCACAGTGCTGGTTTAGAGGCGTGCATAGTCAACACCACAGTGCTGGTTTAGAGGCGTACATAGTCACCACCACAGTGCTGGTGTAGAGGCGTGCATAGTCACCACCACAGTGCTGGTTTAGAGGCGTACATAGTCACCACCACAGTGCTGGTTTAGAGGCGTGCATAGTCACCACCACAGTGCTGGTTTAGAGGCGTGCATAGTCACCACCACAGTGCTGGTTTAGAGGCGTACATAGTCACCACAACAGTGCTGGTTTAGAGGCGTACATAGTCACCACCACAGTGCTGGTTTAGAGGCGTACATAGTCACCACCACAGTGCTGGTTTAGAGGCGTACATAGTCACCACCACAGTGCTGGTTTAGAGGCGTACATAGTCACCACCACAGTGCTGGTTTAGAGGCGTGCATAGTCACCACCACAGTGCTGGTTTAGAGGCGTGCATAGTCACCAGCACAGTGCTGGTTTAGAGGCGTGCATAGTCACCACCACAGTGCTGGTTTAGAGGCGTACATAGTCACCACCACAGTGCTGGTTTAGAGGCGTGCATAGTCACCACCACAGTGCTGGTTTAGAGGCGTGCATAGTCACCACCACAGTGCTGGTTTAGAGGCGTGCATAGTCACCACCACAGTGCTGGTTTAGAGGCGTACATAGTCACCACAGTGCTGGTTTAGAGGCGTGCATAGTCACCACCACAGTGCTGGTTTAGAGGCATACATAGTCACCACCACAGTGCTGGTTTA